TATTATATAAGGTGTAGTATATAGCAGGCTTGGTCTCTGACATTAAGGGAGGAACATAGACTCAGGGTGCTGAGGGAAATGTATAGACCTAGGAGGGATGAAGTGACAGGAGGTTGGAGGAAACTGCATAATGAGGAGCTTCATATTCTTTGCCAAGGGTAATTAGAATGATCAAGTCAAGGAGAATGAGATGGGCAGGGCATGTAGCATGCATGGGGAGAAGCGGAATGAATATAGGATTATGGTGGGAAAGCCAGAAGGAAATGGGCCACTAGGACGACCAAGACGTGGGTAGGAAAATTAATATTAAAATTGATCTTAGAGAGATAGGATGGGTTCATATGGACTGAATTGGTCCATCTCAAGATAACCAGTTTAGGCTTTTATGAACACGATAATGAACCTTCGATAATGAACCTTCGTGTTCCAGACAGTTTTGGGAAATTCTTGAGTAGCTGCACAACTAACAGCTTCTCAAGAAGGGCTCATTTCCATGCAGTTAGTATGTGATGTTGGCAAAGCAATTGCGACAGAGGAAGAAGGTGCAGTTTGTCTTGTGGAGGCAGGTAGAATTTATATCTCGCGAAGTGATCCAGCATTTGTTAACCCTTAGTGTTTGTTTCATGCTATAAATTCGGTGTACCCCTTAAGTAACTTTTATTGTGCATGTGAATTACCTTTGGATGAACACATAGAGTCTCATGGATTTTTCTTTCCAAGTATATGTCTGTTTGAAATGTAGATGAATGGAAATTAAGCCTCTGTGACAGATCAGTGGATACGGCATGAACAGTTTTGCATTGAAGCCTGCATTTATTTCTGTTACAGTTAAGTATTAAGCAGTGTGTAAATGGTGGAATGTCTATGTTCATATTCAGATAAGTACTCTGAGAATTGAGGTTTTCATGGCAGTGAATAATAAGATTATGATCTTCAGAGATGTAACTCCATGTAGTTCGGTAAATGTGTACCATTGTTCAAGAGGGACCTGATGTTATGCTCAGTTATACCTGTTACTGGCATGTGTTAACCTATCGTTGCCACACTTTTGGTTTGTCGTGGCATGAACTACAAAATCAGCAACACATGTGCAGTTCTTACTCAACATACAAAAATTCAGTTTAATGGCCAGTGCAAAGAAGATGAGTGTTGTATCTTTGAGTTACACATTCATGAGCCAATAGCAGTTATTAGATATAATCACACAGATAATGCATACATATACACATGCACAAGCGGCCTCCGTAGTCTAGGGATAACGTTCCCACCTCGTGACTCAAGGTACGCGGGTTCAAACCCGGCGGAGGTCGTGGAATTTTTAAGGGCGGAAAAATTCAGGGAACAAGTCCTCCGGGAGGGACTTTAAGCCGTGGGTGCCGTGTCGTAGCACATAAAAGAACCTCATGTCCCAAGGGGACCACTGAGCCAAATTCAGGACATTTCCCGCCCAACAGTAGTCTCTAACGCCTCTGGTAGATGGGGGAAGCATCGAGATACCGCTGAGCCAGTGGAGGCCGAACTCGCTGGCTGAGTCGGGACTGATGGCACGCACCAGTACCGGTAGGGAATAGAGATTGGTAGAATATCACAGGGGGACGCACAATGGACCAACCGTTGGTCTAAATGCATGAGGAAACCCACCCTCTCCAATACAATACAATACAATACACACATGCACTCACCCCAGATGCATTTTATTCGTGGCCTTTGTGAAAAGATGACATAACAAGCAGGAAAGAGAATTTATTTAAATTAAGATTATATCATATTGATAGTGAAGGATGACATTGTCTTCTGTCATCATTTTTAGTGTAATTATTCATGTAAGTACTCTACAAATCATAAGCATTATTTATATGTTTATCCCAGCATTTATAGTATTCATGTTTGTATTGAGCCCCCACCATACTAGCTGGGGGACGGGTGTTCTCGTGTTATTTCATCCACCAAATAAATACAACAGACGTAAACAATCAAATCAAATAACATTTAATAAATGATTAGCAAATTGTACCAAAAGGAAAACACAATAATTTGGCATAACCAGGCACGAGATCTCTTGACTCAACTCGCAGACCACGCCCTTCTCCGCCACAGGCGGCGTGTAAGACATTTTTTTTAACAAGAAACTCACGCTACATAATTCCATCTCCAAAAAAAATCGCCTAGGCACATAATACAAAGAAAAGCAAAACATACAGACTCTCGGCTTACAGAGTTCTTCCAAGAATTAACAATGAAATAGCAACATTATGTGTATTACCTGGAGATGGGTCCTCCTGCCTGGAGTCTACTGCCAAACCAAATCTTTTCAAGGCGCCGGCCTAAACAGAAATTTGTTACGGAGCGACACGTCCGTTCGCTACGACGTTCCAGGCAGAAGATTACTTGTACCTCAGCCGAATCAGGAAAGACAGGGGAGTGATGACGTAAGATACGCCACGGAATAAGGATAAGTGGTAAGGAATGTAGGAAAACATGGTGGGAGCCGTGGCCACCGTCGCTCAGAGAGGGTACTACATCCAATGAGCCGAAGAGATCGGCTCAGTATGACATCTTAAGGTTTCTGTGTAGAGCTGTAGTTGCAGTACACAGGATAGTTCTAGCATTTGTAGTTTCTTGACATCAAATGTAAAGACACTTCCTTCAAATGTCTGCTTTACAAGGTGTGGACCAAGAATATTCATGAAGAAAGCAGTCTTCTGGGATTTGGCACCGTGTATAAGTGGTGTTAACCGACGTTTCGGAGGAACGTATCGCCTCCATCTTCAGGGTAGAAGAAAAAGTATAAGAAATCTGCAAGCGACAAGACCGTGAGAACGGTAAAAGCAGACTGCTTTTACCGTTCTCACGGTCTTGTCGCTTGCAGATTTCTTATACTTTTTCTTCTACCCTGAAGATGGAGGCGATACGTTCCTCCGAAACGTCGGTTAACACCACTTATACACGGTGCCAAATCCCAGAAGACTGCTTTCTTCATAGTCACCGCCGTGAAAGCGTCAAATCTTACAAGAATATTCATATTTGTTATACAATATTTTTTTGTGTCTTTGAACCCCGTTAATTTTTTAATACTTATGATTATTGTATTTCCATTAGTGTTTTAAGGCCCAAGCATGTTACATTATCAGTATGAAACTTCCATTTATTTTACATGACCCCTCGATCTGTGGCTGCATATTGGGAACCATTTGTATTGTATTAGTTGTTTCTAACATGAAAGAATATTATCCTTTGTCTAGGGAATTCTGGTACGCTTCACTGGTTTGCATACGTCGGAAATGAAGCAGATTCACTTCAGAATGAAACAGTTAGCCAAGGTAAAAGGCATGGTTGAACAGTGGAAGTGTTGACAGTGCAGTGGTGGCCTAGGCTGCATGTAGCATATTGATCATGTCGTGTATTTGTTGAAGCGTAGATTCAGTGTCATGCATGAATTATTCCTACAACTTTGTTGTTAGTGAATGCTAACAAATTGATATATTCAGTTAGACTTGTCTGATTTGATAGTGTGTGTCTTTCTGTAAAGCATGTGTACATAGCATGTAGATAATATGTTTGTTAATGATATTCATGTTGTCCTTAAATATAATAATCCCAAGGTAACTGTTCTTAATTTTAATTAAATGAGGCATTAATTGGATTTGTGGTCTTCTGAATTATAATATTGTGCAATCTTGTTTGTGGGTACCAGTATTTCAGAGGCACCTGCTGTGTCCAGCTTCAGGATAGAAGCCAGCAGTAGGGTCCTCTGAAATATGTGTACACAACTACTGGAACATGTGGTATGTAATCCAGAAGACAGTAACCTCCACTTCTGACAACCTTGAGATCTCATGAAGAAGAAAGTTAACTGGAGGGCTATAACGAATGACAGCGTGTCAGTAGTTTGCCAGGTCCTGTAGATGATCTTCTCTACATCTGACATCAAAGCAACCTCCCCCAGCTAGTTTTTTCCAGGTTTGCCTTAGTCAGAGATCATCAAAGTTGTTCAAGAATTAAATCATTTCTATGTTAGGAGTGAAATGGAACACAAGTTCAGAACAAATATCTCAAACTTTCAGGACTTCATTAAAGACAGGTTACAGGTTACTTTGCTTGTTATGTCTTATCCTGTTTGAAATAAATTTTGAGTTTATATAACGATTCTGCTGTTGTATCCATTTCTGAAACTTCTGTTATTTTATTCTGTTTTGTACCTGATGCTGGTGATACCAGACATCTGCTCATTCAGTTGAACTTTAATTTTAGAGAAGAGAGGAAAAGAAAATTTTAGATTGTCCAGAACTTATACTTGAAGTTATGGCACAGAATGACCCCATTTTGATTTTCTTCGTTTTCTTCAGTAAGTGGGACACATATTTGAGAACAACCTGTTGTGTCATCAGATATTTTAATAAAAGAGTCAGGCAAGTTCCATACGAATGTTGTTCCAAATAGCAGATAATGAAACACCCATCTTGTGGATTGGCTCACTAACTCATGCATCGTGTGTGTCTGTTTGGATCCTGGATGGACATCCGTAATATTTTATACATGCATCTGAAGTCAGTCTGAAGATCACTGTCTTCTGGTATGCAGTGCATTTTGGTCTGGTAGGTCACTGTCAGCGAACTTTTGTCTTCTCATCTGCTCTCCAAAAACATAAAAATTAGAATATGCAAAACTATGTTATATTTTAACGTCCTGTTACACTGATTCATGTCCATGGTTTATGCTGACCGTCTTACAGTGTATACACTTTTTTCACCTTATTCTTCACTTCAACACTACATGTTTCAGCACTAATGTGCCATCTTCAGGTGTCTTTATGCACGTTAAACTATTGTACTGCATGCCATGATGTCTTCATTCTAGAATGATCTAGCAGTACAGCGCATGCAGTAACAGGAGNAAGAGGCGATTGAACTCGGGTAATGCTTGCTACAATTCAGACCAGAACCTTTTGTCTTCTCGTCTGCTGTCGAAAAACATAACAATTAGAATATACAAAACTATAATTTTGCCTGTGGTTTTGTATGGATGTGAAACTTGGTCTCTGACATTAAGGGAGGAACATAGACTCAGGGTGTTTGAGACCAGGGTGCTGAGGAGAATATTTGGGCCGAAGAGAGATGAAGTGACAGAAGGCTGGAGAAAACTGCATAATGAGGAGCTTCATAACTTGTACCCTTCTCCAAGAATAATTAGAATTATCAAGTCAAGGAGGATGAGGTGGGTAGGGAATGTAGCATGAATGGGGGAGACGAGGAATGCGTATAGGATATTGGTGGCAGAGCCAGAAGGAAAGAGACCACTGGGAAGACCTAGGTGTATGTGGGTGGACAATATTAAAATGGATCTTTGAAAGATAGAATGGGATGGTATTGATTGGATCGATCTGGCTCAGGATAGGGACCAGTGGAGGGCTCTTGTGAACACAGTAATGAACCTTCGGGTTCCATAAAATGCTGGGAAATTCTTGAGTAGCTGCAGATTTGGCGGCTCCTCCAGAAGGACTCGGCTCCATGAGTAAGTAAGTAAGTAAGGTAACAGTTTACCCAACTGCATGGTGTCACATTCCAGAGGACAGTAATCTTCATAGGCAGTACTCTGCGAGCCTCAGATTTTGGAAACCACTTAATAGTTCATATTATTCCCACTGGTTCCTTAACTTTTGTTAAGTTTTACATGTGTTGTTACAGATTTGTAGATATCTTTATACTGCATTGTTCTTTTAAATCTTCCGCTTCATAAATCACAATGCACACTAACGTCTCCAAATGTAGAAGTGCATATGACAGTAATGGTTTATGATCATGTGCACTGTTCCAGTCCACATTTTGACCATGTACACCATCACCATCTCACAGCAAGGTTATGCGGTGTCACTGGTTTTGCTGTCATGAGAGGAGTAAAGATATTGGGACATATTGTGTGTTTATGTCTTCATATGTATGAAACAAAACTAATGGCTCGGTTTGGTTTTTCTACTGAGTTTATGTACACGTGAGAGCACATATAACTATGAATAAGAATTTGCAGGAAATATCTTATGATTGCTTGAGTGAGTGATAGCTGACACCCTCTTCTAATGATAACTTTCATATGAATCAAGGTTCCCTTTGTTTGACTTGCCAGACTGTGGTGCGGAGTCAGATGATGGTGAAACTTGTGCTGAGACTGCGCCTTTAGACTTCATTACTGCTCCAGGTAGCCGGGTTAAATGTAACCACTCTAATTGCATTTTGTTGCCTGTTGTATTCAGGTAGTCATAGGCTGACATGTTACATCAGTAGATTTTTATGTTAATTTTTGGCTTCTGTTTTCTTTGCATTCCTTGAAGCCTGATGCTGTACGCAGGTTATGATAGTAGGCATAGTGGATTTTAGTTCAAACTGCTGGTCATCAACATTTTAATTACTTGTTTATACCCTGTTGCACTTAATTAGGAGGCTGTTCTTTTAAGACAAGCGAAGTAAGTTAATGATTGCATTGGGATTCATTGAGATGTGTCACAAGGGAATCTGGTAAGCAGTTTTATTTACAAACATCAGGATGTTGGATCCTTCAAATCATGGGGACTCCAATTGTGGCTCATTCCCTGCTCTCATTAATCCCCCCCCCCTTGATTTATTTGTATTGATTGTAACAAATGAAAGTCCTGTAAGCAGTTTTGTAAACACAGTTGGACCCCAGAATTCTCTCCTGCCATAGTCTCCTCATTGAATAGAAAGAATTGCAGATCATGATGGAATGCTCAACCCTTTGAAGGCTACAGTTCTTTTAAATAATATTTAAAGATTTGTTTCATGTCTCTCAGAAAACATACTGCACCTCCATCTCAAAGATGAGGCAGTCAATGCAGTATAGGAAAATAATCGTTAATTCGTACAAAATTCATAAATACACTTTGTGAGAAGAAATCTATTACTTTTAATATTAAAGCGGGTGGTACATATTAATGACTTTATTTTAAAGAGGTAATTGTGTATTGAATGGACTGCTGCATGAAATGAACATACGGTACACATTTCAGTCTAATGTAATGCACTGGGCAGTATTATGTTCTGGAAATGTTGTAGTTTTGCACAAGATATTCTCACATATGCACAGAAAACACACAGTTCCTCAGTTACAAATACTAGTCAGTTAATGCTGTTAAGGGAAATAATCACTATTTTTTAGAGAGAATTGTATGACACATGCAGCTTCTTGTCATACGAAACTCTGTAAGCAGAATGCAAGGTTTTTTTTTACGTTAAAGCCGACGGTATGTGTAGTTACCATTGTGATTTAAAGGGTTAAAGCCTTTAACACTGTAACAGATATAGAGTAAGTGATTTTATATACATAATTTTTTAACATGATTGAACTAATGTCAAAGAGCAATGTTTTTGGTGATAATGCTAGAAAATTATAGGAATATCCTGAAATAATATTCAGTTCAGGTTTTATAGTTGTTTGGTACTAGTGCTGTTGGCATTGCAGTACTGAGGACAGCTGCAAGTCATTGAAATTGGTACCGATGAAACTAAAATTAGATGTATAGTGTGTGTGTGTGTGTGTGTGTGTGTGTGTGTGTATATATATATATATATATATATATATAGTGTTTCGTTTGATCAAGGTGAATATAAAAATTAAAATAAATTAGATTCACAGGAGTATGTTACTGTCATTTGATTAACATTGTAATGAAAAGTATCCAGTTAATTATTAAATTAAAACTTTGTATTACATTTTATCACAGAAAGAACAGTAGCTAATTTTATTAATAAACATGTAACATGAAATCTATAGTGACTAGAAATATTGAAACTGATTATTCATAATAGACTAATATTGACAAGTGTAGCAAATGCAGAGCTGTTGTGTTGAAACTGGTGTAATGTGTAGGTAGGTTGTCAGGAAAATGGGCAATAAATATTTTGAACAAAGAATCAATATAAGATTTTTCTTCACACTTCAAATATGTAAACAGAATCATCACTGGGGATGAAAGTTGGGTTTCTCAATATGACTTGACAAAGATGAAGAGCATATGGTGGAAATCTCCAGGCTCACCCTGCTTCAGGAAAGTGTGGGTGTTAGAATCAAAGGTCAGGACAGTGTTTATTTGTTTCTTTGACTGCAGAGTGATAGTGCACTGAGAGTTTGTCCCTCCTGGTTAGACTGTCAACCAGAAGTTTTATTTTCAAGTGCTGGAACATCTAAGACAGCAGGTTCATCATATGCAGCCAGAATTATTCCCTGACAAATTGATATTGCACCATAACAGTGTGTGCTCACACATAGTACTTTACATTAAGGTTGAGAAAATCAGTCATGGTCCTGGAACACTCAACTTATCTCTAAATCTCACACTGTGTGACCTCATCATCTTCCCTACCATGAAGAATTGTCACAAGGCATCACATTCTGAAGCCATGGAAGAGCTTCGGAAGGTTATGACAGCTGTTATAAACAGTTTGCAAGAGAACAACTTCTAGAAGTGCTATGACAGTTGGAAACAGTGCTGGAATTCATGTATAGCTATATTTATTTTCTAAAGTATTAAGTGGAAAGTCAAGTAACACAGATTTCATGCAGTTTGTGTTATTCTCATTCTACAAAAAAATAATTACCTTAAGAAAATTGTATATTCCAAAAGGTATGTTATCACAAAATAGCAGGACCATACATTAAATAATTTACACAGTGGCCATGTTGGTATTCTCATTGGTATGGACTTGTTGCTTGGCCACCAGTGACGTAATGATTATCAAGTTTGTGAAAGTACCTCTTGTAGAAACTCTGATTAGACTTGGCACACCACTATCCTGGCATCTTGGAGATGAAGCCAAACTGCCTCTTTGGACCCTGGAGGTGAAGCCAAACTGCCTCTTTGGACCCTGGAGGTGAAGCCAGACTGCCTCCAGGGACCCTGGAGGTGAAGCCAGACTGCCTCAAGCGANCCACCAGTGACGTAATGATTATCAAGTTTGTGAAAGTACCTCTTGTAGAAACTCTGATTAGACTTGGCACACCACTATCCTGGCATCTTGGAGATGAAGCCAAACTGCCTCTTTGGACCCTGGAGGTGAAGCCAAACTGCCTCTTTGGACCCTGGAGGTGAAGCCAGACTGCCTCCAGGGACCCTGGAGGTGAAACCAGACTGCCTCTTTGGATCCTGGAGGTGAAGCCAAACTGCCTCCTGGGACCCTTAAGGTGAAGCCAGACTACCCCTTGAGATCCTGGAGGTAAAGCCAAACTGCCTCTAGGGATCCTGGAAGTGAAGCTAAGACTGCCTCCTTGGATCTTGGAAATGGGACCAGATTGCATGAGTAGTCATTGTTCTATCATTTCACATTAAATCACCCACTTGAGCTATCTTTTTCCTGACTGAGGGACATTCAAGACGCTTGTTGCTTTTGACAGATATTTGCCCCTCTTCGAACGTTACCATTCAGAAATTCGTGCTCACTCATTGTTGTATCTCAAAGCACTATTTGTATCACTTGATAGATTTTGGTGGTCCACTAATTGATCTGTGTTCTGCAACATCATTAAATCAGCATGTAACAGGAACACGCATGACTACAGATGACATAATGAGTGGTGTGAGCTGTGCACGTAACAGGACATGATCATTGCAGTTATGTACAATAATTGTCTTCTAGGGATGAACAAGAATTAAATACAACATCAACCAAAAAAACTTGTTGAAACGGAATATTCTCTGAATCATACATACATTAATTTAATTTTTCTATGAGATAAGTGTGAAATACCCTGATTTCACAGATTTTGATATATGAGTGAAGTTTCTTATGTCTGCTGCATTTACGCAGTAAATGCAGTTTATTTAATTGATGTTCAGAAAAGCCATGCTATTTTCAAGGGGACAAGGTTGGTCACTGCCCCTGAAATAGTGTAGGTAAATTTAATATGAAGATTACAGCTTTCTGGAATGTGAGGCTGGTATTTTGATAGATAGGTACCAGTGGTTTGTTGGAACCTGCTACCCCCATCCTGTGTCCTGAAGATGGAAGCAGAAGGTCCTCTGCAACGTTGGTACCTATTTATGAGCTGCATGGTATCACATTCCAGAAGACTAATCATAAGATTTACTGCTGTAGGAACCTCTAACTAATTAACTAACTAACTAGCTAACTCCATGGAGATGACTCCTTCTTCAGGTGCCACCAGTTGGCTCTAAGAACTTAAGATTTTAAATCTGATTGATTGTTTACAGGGAAAGACGGTTCAAACTTGTCACAAAAGGAGCGTGAGGAGAGAATCCGAGCACTCCGTGAACGACAGAATGAGGAGAGGCAGAGAAAGTTGGAGGAACTGAAGCAACAGGCAATAGCTGCCCAGAAGTTCCGAGAACAGAAGGAAGAGGAACGAAGAAGACGCATAGATGAACTGCGACAAAGAGATAGTGATAAGCGGCATCAGGTGGAGGAAAGAAAACGCCAGATATGGGAGGCAGAAAGAGATCGTCGAGAGGCAATACTGAGAAAGAATCAGGTATGAATTTGACTTTGAATATATTGTGTTCTCATATACATATATACCTGTGCCCTATAACACCAGCATCGTATAGTACACAGTTCAATGGCATGTAGAGTTCTCAATTCCGGTACCTTGCTATACAGTTCTAATTTATATATTTCCATTTCCTCTTACCTCAGTTTGAGGTTATGTCTTAAAAAGTTTTTGTGTCTGATTTTAAATATATGTAATGAATATCTGTCAAATCATGTTACATTCTGAACCCTCATTTATGCTCTTTCACTTATTATGTACATATTTTTCGCTCCACTTTTTCTTTTCCACAGATGTTAATAAGTACATGATAGCATCCTCCTCACCCATACCTAGGAGGCATCTTCGTTTCCAAAATCAATTTATAAAAAGGTAAAGCTGTCCCTGTAACAGGTCATGAAGGCCCATGGGTGTGTGTGAGGTCGAGGCTCCCACATTTTGTAGACAGACAGCTCAGCGATGGAAGTGAGGTTGTCAGCCTTACACACCGGCTGCCCCTTACCCTCCAGGAATCTTTCTATTACTCATGTCTGTTAGAGGCTCTGTCGACCCCAGGGCCATATTGTGGCTGGAAGGATTAGGTAAATTGCAAAAATTCAGTGACCTCATAGGGAGTCGAACCCACAACCTTCCAGCTTGTAGCATAGTGCCTCAACCAACTACACTACTGCATGCACCAAATCATCTTATAGTCACTTTTAATTGTCACATCCCTGCTACCTGCTAGTCACATTTCTTGTACAACACTCAGTGTAAGCATGTCTCCTTGAAACCGCTCAAGTTTCACTTTGTGTTAGAATACCAAATAAGTCTTTTTACTATTCAAAAACAACTTCTGTCATTTTGTATCATTTCTCTATCATTACAGCTTGATTTAATTATTTTAATTGCCTAGCTTACCGTATTCTGTTGACTGTGCCATGTACAGTATATACTAATCATATTTTTCTTCCTGCTCTTTCAGTTTCCTGGTGCCTCTTGTCCTCACGTCCTTTCATCACCTGTTTGATCTGGTTGTTTTCATTAATCACTTCATTTATAACCCTACTTAACATACCAGATTTTGAGCTAAGCGACTGTGTCCCTCTCTTAATTTTTATAGAGTTCTCGTAGGATTTGAGGTTCTCTCACCAGTGGTTATGAAGGGTTCTGTCTTCTGGGATATAACGCCGTGTAGGATCTGAGGTTCTCACAGCGGTGGTTATGAAGAGTTCTGTCTTCTGGGATATAGCGCTGTGTAGGATCTGAGGTTCTCACATCGGAGGTTATGAGGAGTTATGTCTTCTGGGATGTAACGCTGTGTAGGAGCTGAGGTTCTCATGGCATTAGTTATGAACAGTTCTGTCTTCTAGGATGTAGCGCTGTGTAGGATCTGAGGTTCTCACAGCGGTGGTTATGAAGAGTTCTGTATTCTGGGATATAGCACAGTGTATGATCTGAGGTTCTCACAGCATTGGTTATGAACAGTTCTGTCTTCTAGGATATAGCCCTGTGTAGGATCTGAGGTTCTCACAGCGGTGGTTATGAGGAGTTCTATATTCTGGGATATAGCACAGTGTAGGATCTGAGGATCTCACAGCGTTGGTTATGAACAGTTCTCTCTTCTAGGATATAGTGCTGTGTAGGATCTGAGGTTCTCACAGCGTTGGTTATGAACAGTTCTCTCTTCTAGGATATAGTGCTGTGTAGGATCTGAGGTTCTCACAGCGTTGGTTATGAACAGTTCTGTCTTCTAGGATATAGCACTGTGTAGGATCTGAGGTTCTCACACCGATGGTTATGAAGAGTTCTGTCTTCTGGGATATAACGCCATGTAGGATCTGAGGTTCTCACAGCGGTGGTTATGTAGAGTTCTGTCTTCTGGGATATAGCGCCATGTAGGATCTGAGATTCTGACAGCAGTGGTTATGAAGAGTTCTGTCTTCTGGGATATAACGCCATGTAGGATCTGAGGTTCTGACAGCAGTGGTTATGAAGAGTTGTGTCTTCTGGGATATAACGCCGTGTAGGATCTGAGGTTCTCTCATCAGTGTTTGTGAAGGGTTTTGTCTTCTGGGATATAATGCCATGCTGTCTACTGAAATTCTACTGACATTTCACAGGAACATGTCACCTATATCTTCAGGGTTGAAGTGTAAGCCAAGCAAGAAACTTGTATGAAACAGGTTGGAAATTCAGGTCTGTGCTGGTTTCATTCTTGGCTTATTCTTTGACCCTACAGGTGGAGAGGACATGTTCCTCTGAAATATCAGTTGATATTCAGTTGGCTGCCTGGCTTTATATACCACAAGATAGAACTCTTTGGAGTGTACTTATTTATGTGTTTAATACCCTGTTTATTGCCTTGCTTTGTTTCTCTAGGCAAATGACAAACTCTGATCAACCTTTGCCAGCTCAACTTGTGGGCCCAGCTTCATCTTTATTCCACTGGTCACCAGTAGCACCATAATCACTTTCCAAGAACCAAATTTTAGTTGCAGATCTGTCAGTGTTACTCCCTTTGACATTGTCCTTTCATATGTCAGTGTATATCTGTCAATTCTGTCATGATAATGTTTCAGTGCTAAACTGCATGGTAGGACTGCAGAAATATGCCCTACTCCCACTGCTGACTCACATGGCCCACACAAGAAAATTTATGTAATATGCTTTGAGTAAATTGATTTGTTGCAATTCCTTGCCTTACCATTTGTTTGAAAAAGACGCACTTCTTGTTAAGATCCTTCCAGCATTGCTATAATAAAGTAATGAGAATCATAACCTAGAAATTTGAACTATAAATGAATTTCACAACTCTTTCCTTCCTTCCGTTCCTTTCTTAAAATTATGATTTGCAATGATAGCCTCAAGCAAAGCAGCAGGCATTGCATATGATGCTTGCAGTTTCCTGTTGTATCTGGTTATCATTCTTAACACCAGTTACATTTATGTAATAGAACCATGAAATAAATGTAACATGCTTGTTGAAGTTTTGTGATGATGATTATCCAACAGCTAATGACTTAATGTATGACAGTGTAAAAGCATATTGTCACCAGATTGCTGGTGGAAGCTCTGACTGATGTATCAGTTGTTTTTAATGTGTTCAAAATATTTTAACTTGTTTTTAATATGAGCTAAATATGGTATTATGATGTAAACATACATTGTCTTATTTTGTAAGTCTTCTTGACAATTGCTTAAGAGTATTAGTAGGATAAATTGACACAATTCTGTATCTAAGGCTTTTGCCTATTATAGATGTAATGGAATAAGGAAGACATAATAATAATAATAATAATAATAATAATGATAATAATAATAATAATGATGATGATGATGATGATAATTGTTTACATGATTGCTTTGTTTCATGTACATATGTCATATTTCATACCAAGTGAAGATGGGTCAAGTTATTTCTTTATCATTTCAAATACTGCTTTTAGTTCTTACTATCAGTTTTTTCTTATTCTGTAGGAACGAGAAGCTCGGATCGACTCAAAACGAAAGAATGAACGTAGTTCAATAGTATTTGCATTTGGAAGTTCAACTCCAAGGATGCTAGAACCTGCTGATACCGGCGGTTCCTTCTGGGGCACTAGGAGGTAAGAAAACACACTCAGCTTGTCAGGTTACTGCAGTTCTGGAAGCTGAGTATCAAGATTACCATCTCTGAGATGTGATGCTGTGTAGTTCAATAAATTGGTGCCATGATTTTGAAGGAACGTGTCATCTTGTCAGTTATGAGACCATGTCATCTGATAGGTGGATACCAACATTACTTCTTTAGCTTCTGGGTAGAAGTGACTACACTAAATATGTATGCAGCAAGTTCTTCTGAATCATTGATACCCATGTACCAGACTTCTACACAATTTAATTATCCAGAAGGTCACAATATGAATCAGTTTTCTAAAATTGAGTTGTGCAGAAAAGTTCAGAAGTGTGGTAGAATGATGTGGAGTATTTGCTGAAGGTATAACAAAATTGTTCAGTTAAATATGAAGCTGTTTAATATTGTAGCAGATTTGGTGGGAAAGCCATAAGGAAAGAGACCACAGGGAAGCCCAAGGCATAGGTGGGTGGACAATATTAGAATGGATTTTGGAGAGATAGGATGGGATGGTATGGATTGGATAGATCTGGCTCAGGATAGGGACCAGTGGAGGGCTCTTGTGAACACGGTGATGAACCTTCAGGTTCCATAAAATGCTGGGAAATTCTTGAGTAGCTGCAGAATTGGCAGCTCCTCCAGAAGGGCTCAGCTCCATGAGTAAGTAAGTAAGTAAGCAAGCATGTTTGGTCAAAGCATTGCCAGGTAGCAGCTCAGTAAATGCTTCCCAGCATGCAACAGTATAAAGGAAACTGTGTTTTCTACATAGTCAGCGCCATGCAAGAATAGGAAATGGGTTCCCTGTGACCAGTTGCTAGGTTACGCAATGATTCTTGCAATATAACTGTGTTTTCTATGTGGTTGCTGCCACAGCAATATAATGATATTCCCAAAATAACCGAGTCAGTTGAGGGAATTGGACTGAGCAGTTGAGAGTCAGTTGCCAGTAAGACATAACCACAGGAAGTTCGTAGTAGTAGAAGAATGAGAAGTCAACCTGTGAAGACTATGTGTGCTGTAGTGCAGTGATATCTAGAGTCTGCCAGTTATAGTTCCTGTGTTAAAATCCATTGCCAGGAAACGGATAGTGAAAACTTTGTAGAGGAATAGCCATTGATTGGGCCTGTTACCTAGCAACGGCTAGTTAAAGCAGATATAGAAGACATTATATGTGTGTTATAATTACAGTAATCTTGAAAGTATTATAATTATTTGTAATAACTACTAGTGAATGTTCAGTAAATCAATTCACCAATCCAAACCCCATATACTAGTCACTAATACACATGACAGTGTGTAAATTAAGAGCTGACTGTGATATGAGAAGCTTCAGATTATTTGTGGTTAAAATTACCCTACTTATTGTTCTGAAATATTGTCGTTTTCTTTTTGTATTACATGATCAGTTCCGTCTTATAGTAACAAGAACTCATGAGGTAGTAGGAAGCAGTCCTCATTTGTGTTTGAAAAGTACACAGATTAGGTCCCAGCCAGGCTGCTGTATCTTAACATTGCTTCCAGGCAATTCCTGGGATCCAAGTAGGTTATGGCCGCTACCTTTCAGGTCTTTTTCAATTTTCACCAATCATACTGGCTTAACTTTACAGCATCTGACTTGTTGTTCAATATATTCTGCACTTTTGAGCCACTGATTGGATCTGCTGCAACTGTCATGGTTTCTCTCTGTTCTTCCAGGCAAATGCCATGACAGTACTCGGATATAAGCTGTGATACCTCCCATACAGTGTCCAGCTCACTATACACTATCATCTTGTAATATCAGTTGGTGCTCAGCACACATTACACTTAACAGAATGGGTCAGAATTGTTTTCAGAGTATACTAGCCAAATATTTTGGTTTTCCAGAAATAGGTGAATCAATATTTTCTGTTGCCTTGCTGCGGCTGTAGCCTCAAATTGGTGAGCAGATTTCATTTCCTCATGTATTGTTTATCCTATTCACAGGGCAGGCTTAAGTTAATGGGGAAAAAATTAAGCTTAAAACAGAGATGAATTGTTATGAATTCCCTTGATCTCAATGTCTTTGGGTCTTGTTTTCCATTTTGTCTGTGCCACAGATGACCAAGCAAGGTTTTCAGAGTGCTCACAAACATGAAATGGAAAATGTGTTGCCATCCAAAATTGTTCTCTTTCCATATGTGAGTGGGTGAGCACATTTCCAAACAGTGTTTAGCAGGTCATGCATAGATAAGCCAAATATACAAGAATTTGTGTCTTGCCATCAACATTTATCCTTCCGTTGAGCGCCGTGTGACTGTTGCAGTTTACAGTGTGTTGTGAAGTGAACTGAGGATAGAATGTAACCTTGAAGACACATTGTGACACAGAATCTGTTGTTTCAGGGCAACGTCAACAACAAATGTGATGACATTCTCAGCAGCTCCTTTAACTCGCCGTTCATCGGAACGGGAGTTGGATGGGAGTAAGAAGAGAGCCACATCAGCCAGTGGTCTTGACCGCAAACCTGGCGAAGGTTGGAAGCACATAGACACATGTTTGTAATTAAGTTAGTTTAAACTTTGGTGTGAAGAGAGTAGTGTGCCTAGTTGCAGGAGTGGAGTAAGACCAAGTCTGTCTGCTCTGGCATCAGACAGACCTTAGTACACCAGCCTCTGATGGTAAATGAATAGAGAGCAGTAATGATTTATAATTATAATTGGTAGGAAGAATGAAGGTGCTCAGGGGGAGAAAATGCTCTGGCCCCACTGTTATTTCATCCACCACAGATCCCACATGAATTAATGTAGGAGGTGAACTTATTGTTCCCCCAGTTTCACTGTTGCTCACTCAAAACACTAGGAAATGAAAAATAAATTTTCAAGACTGTATCTTCAATGATGCTTGTGTTAGTACAGTCCACTGAATTATTTGCTTTTGGATAAGACATGAAGTAATGTAAGATGTAGTGCTGTCCATGAATTTCATTTCTTAAAAAGTACAACAGACTTTGAAGAAGAATATGTATACATCACATTTTGTTACAAACTAGGTAAAAGTGTGAAGTGTCCTATCATCTGTTATAGACGCACAATGGACCAATAACTGGTCTAAGTGCATGGGGAAACCCACCCCCTCTAATAATAATAATAATAATCTGCTATATGACACTCTGTAGTCTGGTAGAAGTTAACCAGCATTTTAGAGGAATATAATACCTCCATTTTGAGGGTAGAGAGTAAAAGCTGAACAAGCAACAAGCAATAGTAAAAGGAAAGAGAGGAAGGTGGAGGCATTATGTACTTCCGAAGCACTGGCAAACTTGTACTGGACTACATGCCATCACATCTCAGAAGGTGAGAACCTCAACTCCATCACAGAAAAAACTGCAGTAGACACCCACAACATAAGAAAACTTTCTTTTGAAGTTGAACTAAAAAATGTTAGTGTTTTATGGAGTTGAAATATGTTAAATATTCTTGCTGAAGGCTACTGAATGGTTAGGGTATTGTCTTTTGATACTGTGCATCAGAAACTCATCACATTGGGAACTAACAGTGAATCAAAATTTCTACATGAATATTCTGTGGTGTTTGTGGAATGATGCGCTCTGAAACTGTTATATGAAGTGGTGCCTGGGGATTGGTTTCTCTACCATGACAGTGCTCTAGCTCAGTCAGCAATCCATTTATGTGTGGAAACCATGCGAGTGTCACTACCCATGATGAAGAAATCTGATGGCCATGTTACAATCAAAGCAAAATCACAGACAACAATTGCAGATTTGGAAACTTAGAGATTCCATAGAGCTTTGAAGAATGGCAGAATTGCTGGAATCACTGTATCAAGCCATAAGGGAATTACATACTTTCAAGGAGACAGCATAGAATAACTGCTTGCTTACTTACTCATGGAGCTGAACCCTTCTTGAGGAGCCGCCAATTCTGCAGCTACTCAAGAATTTCCCAGCATTTTATGGAACCCGAAGGTTCATTGCCGTGTTCACAAGAGCCCTCCACTGGTCCCTATCCTGAGCCAGATCTATCCAATCCATACCATCCCATCCTATCTCTCTAAGATCTGCTAAATACATTAAATATAAAAATAAATTCTCTACAGAAATTTATGATTATTGTGACAGGACATTTGAAGGCCAGAATAATGGAGCCAGAAGAAGTCATCCATTTTGTGGTAACGGATGGGTAAACTCGTTTCCACACCAACGGATATGCACGCAACAATAGAGGAAGTGCTGGAAACATTGTTTTCTGTGCAGTCCATGCTGAGGCTATATAGCAAGGACTAATGGGTCAAGTCAGTTAGGAGGTGATGAAAAGGGAACCCATTGCCTGAGGATATAACTGGTCCACCCTGTTCCTGAGGGATAGATATGAGGACCTGACCCTCCAGGTTTTGGGAGTCTTGAATCTGAGGCAGTAAAATATGGTCTGAGTTCTGTGAGACTCAGACCTGAGAATGACTGCTGGCGAGGACCAGTAGCAGTTGTAAACAACAGACCCGTCCTCTCATCAGAAAGGGCACCCCACATCAGCAAACCTTGAACTGTGTGTCTGTAACAAAAACCTGGTCTTGGGCCCAAGGTGGAGCTTGACTAAGACAGACTGGCCAACTGACCATCAATCATAACATAACATTGACTTTGAAGTCACTGTCATGAGTTAGTTGAGTTAGTCAGTTGTGAAGCAGCTGCCAGCCTGTAACTAAGCTAATGGAAGAGGATCTTTTACCAGTCAGTGATGAGTGAGGACACAGAAGACTCAGTGTGAGCTGTAATGGGAAGCAGAGTGAGTGAATTAGTGTGAGCTTTATAATTACTTGTTGCTCTTTAGTGTTCAGTAAATCACGTTACCAGTCCAAACCCCATGTCTAGTTACTAACAGGTGACAGTATGTTTACACAGCCATCTGGTCGATGATGTTGACAAGGAGTTGGAAGGTACTAAGGTGGCTTGACTTCCCATAGTTGGTTTTGCAAAGTTTAGTCTGTTAGTGTCAGTAGGTTGTGAGGCAGATGAACAGATGTGCACACATCTTGATATTATGGTTCTAAGTAAGAAATTTCTTTTCTTCAGAACCCTAGAAAGTGGTGAAAGCTTTCATGAGGCATGCGGCTGTCATTCTGAAACACTTCAAAACATTTTATTCAAATTATCTTTGATAGAAGCTGGGGTAATTTATAACTGTGTTGTGTTATTAGATTTTAACTTTTCTTTTGTTCTCTGCTTTCATATGTGTGATAGTTAACATAAAACTAAGAACTGAAACAGATTTAATATATGAAGATAATAGTGTGACACCATGTACACGTAGTTTGGTAGATGGGTGTCAACATATTTAGAGGAATTTGCTAGTTCCAAGTTCAGGGTAGAAGAGAGGGGTGGAGAAGGTTGAAAGAAGTGCAACAAGTTGCTCCAAAATAGTTCCATATACCTACCAAACTACATGGTGTCACGTCCCAGAAGACTGTAATCATTATATGAGATTCAGATACTATGCAATTCAGATACACAGAAATATTAAACAGTTGGTTTGCATTTGGACATTTAAAAAAGCAGTACTTTTTGCATTGCATTTTGGAAATGGCATTGTTCCTTGAGTCAGCTGTGTGTGCCTGAATTTTATATATAGAATTTATGTAAATAAATGTATGTATGCTGTTTTCATAGACAAGAATTGATGAAATTGCTTATCTTGTAGAAATATTTTTTTATCCTAGAAATCAGCTAAGTTAATTTTTTCTGTTTTGAATTTTTACAGCTCTTGCCAGAAGCAGAACATTTCTGTTTATTCTTTATATGCATTAGCTTAAGCTGGCCATATTGTGAATTTCGTTTTAATTAAGAAAATAATTTAATAATATGATTTTGTCACTAAATTTGAGGAACAATTCTGTAATTAGATTATAGTGGCTCCTGAGTAAGTCTGTTATGATTAATGCAGGGACATATTCCCCATTTTATTTACAGATATGAAAATGTCTTCTTCTATGTACGAAGTATTCCACTGGAATTCAACTCCTGAGCCTACCTGTAAACCCATTCAGAGGGCTAAAAGCCTTTCATGTGCCCCTGGCTCAGAGCCACAGACAACCCTGGGTAAAACTGACCCTCAAGTTGAGGTTGCTACCAAGTTGAATTTGAACTTAGATGGGCGTGATCGTAACATTTTGAGTGCCCCCCACACGCCCTCGAACCGATCTGTCCATATTTCCAGTATTTTGCCTGGATTTGGGAGCTTGCCTGGTGGTGAGTTGACACTTAGAACCCTGGTCAGTGCTCTTCTAGTTTTCTTTTAGGCATTCATTGTCCTGAAACCCTCTCTGCATGGTTGGAAACTACATTTTGTATGGTAGCAATCATTCAGGTCTTGCTCTTGTTACTGACTTGAATTAACCAATGAGAAATAAACTAATTTCCAGTTAATTGTTAGTGATGTTCACGTGATATGTGAGTGACTCCCTTGCATTCATATATTTTCAATCTTAGCTTCTTTCTTGGTTTTGAACTGATGAGCTTATCTAGCATGTTCAGATAATGATGGCTGAATATGCTGCTGTTGCTTGTGTGTTGTTTCACGTTCAGATCTGCCTTGAAGCAGATTTATAGTACGTTAGATATGTCTGAAGACGTGTGATGAAGGTGTATTATTAAACTGATACATAACTCTATTGGAAAATTTCCATCGTCATGATGGTGGCTAAGCAGCACAATGAAGAGTTCTGTCTTCTGCAGTATATTGACATGTAGTCCATTGGAAGTCTACTGTAATTTCAGGGGAACATGTCTTCATCATCGGGGTCAAAGAATAAGCCAAGCAAGAAATCAGCATGAAGGAGGTAACAAGCAGAGCTACCTTGACTTGACTTGACTTGACTTGACTTGACTTGACTTTGAACAGACTATATGGCTACACCTCAGAAGGTAGAACTCTTTATGATCAGTGCTTTGGGAAATTCAAATCCTACAAAAAGCACAGGGTTACAGAACTACTTCCATCATCAGGTGAAAGTATGAAACCCGCTCTATTTTGTTCATTGGATGCAGCGGACATGGGCCCATTAGAGTAGGTTCCATACTTTTACCTGATGGTGGAAGTAGAGCTTCTAGAAGATGGTATTAACAAAGAACCAGATGATGGAAAATGTGTCAGTTGAATATTATTTTGTTTATAAGGTCTAAAAGTTTGTGATGACGTTACATCGATACCAATATTATGTATCTGGCCATTACCCATTGTCCTGTTTTTATCTAAAACACCGTCCTGTTTATATTTCAAAACACAACGTCTCGGAGAGACTGGAGTCTGTCACCGGCTTCAATTAAAACCTATTGAGTTGCACCAGTTGATGGAGCTAGTCCATATCTCTGGAGACGGAGTAGCTCTATCTCCACAATATTGTGTTTTGAATTATAAACAGGTCGCTGAATGATGTCCAGAAACATAATATTTTATTGTCATGTTTAACCTGAATCTTTGTTTAGCCATGATGTTGAGAATGTTTCGCTTACTGCTGACATTTGTATGCATATTAATTTGTTGTGTATAGATCTTGCATTGACTGAGTTTATGTTGCATGATTATTGGCATCAGTAACAAAGATATGACTATATCTATAAGTTTTATGTGTAGCCCATTTATGTGAATGAGTACAAGTCAGTTTCATATGAAAGAAACTTAAGTCATCACATGTATTTGAAAAAAGTCACACGAAAAATAAAATTTCAGCATGTAAAGGACGTCACATGTTTAACAGAAAAGATTGGTAATGTGATACTTTAATTTATTTACTCAGGAGAAGACGGAGATGTAACTGCGCCTGAAACAGCAGTAGTTGTGTCTGCACAACAGCGCGTCAACAGGAGGAAGACAGACCTGATGCCCACAATTCCTTCTCCCCGGGATCTGACCCCCACCTCTAGTTCCAGACCCTCTTCTGTCTATCTGCAAGGACATCGTCCATTTAGCAGAACCCCAGGTAGGGCTTACTCCATGTCCCGCCTGGACCAGCTTTCCCAGCCGCGCCGACGTCCAGCTGCAGAGCTGGCCTCATTGCATGAAAAGACTCGTGACCCATCCACATTGAGATCCTCCCCCGCCACTGCCAAGAGCATGTCCTGTAGCATGAGTCACCTCGCAGGTAGTAAACATTCTCAGCGTGGGTCTCAGCTTTGCAGATCAGATGCTTCACGCAGCATGTCCCAGTTGACAGGGAGTGGACAGGGGTACCCTGTTCCGCCACCCCGACCCACACGGGCAGAAAGGCTGCGTCAGAGGGCTCGTGAAATGGCTCATCGCAGTGTGACTAGTAGTGCTGGTCAGCTACAAGGTAAGTGTGCTCTTAGCATGGATGTCAGGGTTCATTTTGTTTCAAAACTGACAGTAACATTTCAGGATTATTTTTTTTTAATTATTTTCAACTCTGTGCTTTCTGTAAACATGTCAGAATCTGAAAATTGAATATTAGTGTGTATCTCATTGATCCTTTAAATCCACAAAGTTGTGTTGATCTTACATGTGGTAATGAGGTTGATCCCATATGACAGTATTCTCTTCCACCGGCTTAATACATATTCATATGTTACTTTTTCCTCTCATTAATGTTATCCTACAGAACTAGGATATCACAGTCAATATAGCGACTGGCTACAGGCTGGACGTCCAAGGAGTCGAGTTCTCAAGTTCTGGTGGGGGCAAGAATTTTCGTTACTCCATGTCTTCCATGCCAGCTCTGTGACACACCCAGCCTTCTATCCAATGGGTACTGGGGCCTGTTTCTCCTGGGGTGAAGCTGACCACTCACCCCTAACTAGTGCCAAGTTCAAGAAAGTGTGGTTCTATACATCCACTCCCCCATACATCTTCATAGCTTAGTGCTTAATAGTTAAGCATAGGGACAACATTACTATTTTTAACTTTTACCTTTATTAATGTTATCCTAGTTCAGTTCTTTCTATGACTAGCAGTTTGAGAAAACAGCCGTTTAAACAGATTGAACCCTGACTGAATGAAGCATGAAAGGTGTTCTAAATCAAAGTGTTATGGTAGCAAAGAATATCTGTGGTCAGACATACAAAGAGTTCCTTTAGTAGCCAAAGGTGAATATTGTCTGCCATCGGTAGCTGATCAGTAAGTAATATATCTTGAGTAAAAGTGACAATTTCTAGCAGACGACTGATTTGTTGCAAAATCATCAAAATTAATAAACATGGTTCAATCACAGGCAGTGTTCCTCTTTTCACTATTGTAGTCTCTTACTTGATGCACTAGAGGAAGCGTTGAAGGTTTTTCTGGGAATCTTTGCTCAAAAACACTGCATTTTTAAGTTAAATATGCTGTGCTGTGGATAAAGTGTTTTTGAAACAACAGTTGCGGATTTCTCCATGCCATAGGAAATTGCAAGAAAATTTTTGGTAATAAAATTCTAATCATCTGTGTGGAAATATCTGCGAAAGCTTTTGAATGTAATCCCTGCTCACCAGCTGAACTAAAAACGCTTGGCCAGACAATGGCTACAGTTTTTTCACATTCATTACATATTCAGAAACTTTGTCAGTAGTGGATATTTTCATTGAGAAATATAGTGTTATTTTAAAGAATCTCTATATTATCCTGTTGGAACTTACTTCCACAAATGTGTATTCAGTTTGTTTCACTTTAAGTTTAAATGTTTGGCAGTAGATGAAGCAAGTTTTACAGAGCAGTGACTTCTTTATAAATGTACATATCCATAGTGTATGCATACAGATTAAACAAGATTGGGAACATTATGCACAATACTGCAGCACACAGTATTGCTAGTGGTAGTCTTGAATTTTAAGTTTGCTTACAAATATTAATGGGCATGTTGTAGCATAGTTGGTTGGGGCATTATGCTACAAGCCAGAAGGTCACGGGTTCAATTCCTGATGATGTCATTGGATTATTCAATTGACCTAATCCTTCCAGCCACACTATAGCCCTTGAGTAGACTCAGCCTCTAACAGAAATGAGTACCAGGAATCTTCCTGAGGGTAAAGGGCAGCTGGTGCATGAGGCTGACAACCTCACTGCCATCTGGGAGGCAATTGTTTAGAAAGTGTGAGAGCCTCAACACCTCCCAACCCTGTGGGCCTCCATGGTCTGTTACAGGGATAGCCTTACTTTTTCTTTATTTATCTTTCTCCCTTTTCCCAGATATCAATAATTAAGTACAAATTAGTGAAAGTGCCCCATATCAAATATCAGCATAATCTGTGGAAGCATGTTGGCACTAACTTCGCTGACAAGTGGCGGTCACTCGGTCGGTGTAGTTCACTTGCGGACTACAGGCCAAGGAGTTAGTTAACGGCTGAAAATCATAACTGCCTGACAGCTTTTGTTGTATGAATGAATAAATGCACAAGGGGTGGGCCATAATGATCAGGCCCTTGCACTGTGACCTTCATTGATCTATTGCGCTTCCCTTATTTGATTAACTCTTTATCAATCCTACACTTCAAATGAAATGTAAGACCTTGTTTATGGGGGCATCATAGTAGTCACTTGGTTGCATAAAAAACTGGCCCACGAACTTTTAATGTAAATTTGTCATATCCGATTTCACAATTATGGGATACATGGAAATGTCCATTTATGGCCTTATAGTAATCAGGCTTTATTTTGATGAATATAGCACACAAAACTGGAATTTCTTGTCTCATTTTAGGGAAGGTCTCTCATGTTGAATTTTAATATAATCGTTCCAGTGGTTTGGGTGCTGATAGCAGATCACATACTGGCATGACATGCGCAGAAGTCATTCCTTTGGAAATACTTGATTATAGAAGTGTATATTTTTGTTGTTGATATCAGATTTGTCAAACTATATAAAGCTGACTGAAGTTTTTGGATAAAAATTTTCTGTAACAGTTTTAGATGTGCTGCTGTTATAAGTGAATACATCTACAGTTCAGAGTTTAGCACTGTTCAGCAGTGCATCTGGTAGTTTTCATGGCGTTTGTTGCCAGTAGTAGAGGGACTCTTTGTGTGTGTTCGTAGTGGTGACACTGCAGCTTATAATTTTAGCATTGGAGAAATAGATGTGTGTGCAGTGTTCATTAACTCCTAAGGAGAAGCATGTGTTTGGACTTAGATTGTGTGTTTATTGGTGTGCCTGTATTTGTTGAAGCTGCTTTTGATGATATCATAAATGTTGTTTTTCTAGCGCAGAAATATACATATGTTAAGAAAGAAAGTAACTCTTTGAAGGGCAAGACATTCTTTCCGCTGTTCTCTTCACTCCTGTAGGTTCACTGAGGGCACCAATCCCAGTTCTTCCTCTCCCCCATATGCACCATTTCTTCCATGCTTGGGTTCCTTTTCTGCTGGTAAAGATGGAGACAGCAGGTTGCTTTGAAATGTCGGAGGCAGTATTCCAGACTACACAACATCACATCCCAAAAGATGGTAGTCTTCACAGTCAGTGCTCTGAGAACCTCAGGTCTCACAGAATGTAAATTGTTAAAAACAGAAGAAAGTACTCGTAGAATTACTCATAGAAAATATTAATAACACTGGCATTACTGTATCTCAGATCAGTTTGAGCAAGGTTTAACTATAGCCTCAGCATTTAGCTTTTCTACCCACTTGTGGGTCACATCTTTCATGTGTTTTGTAGAGGACAGAACCAGGAAAGAAGATTTAGGCCTTCAAGGATTTGAGACCATGTTGTTCTGCAGGTAGGAACCTGGTGTGTCCATCTCCATGTTCTCTGATCTCTATTCCCACCCTGTTTGGAGGCAGCAAGTTTCTTGAAACGTTGAGTATGTATCTGGCATACTGCACAGTGTAATATTCCTTAAGGTTAATCTTAATACTCACCTCAGTGAGAACTTCAGATCTCATGAAGAGCACTAGATTCAGGAATGTAACATTGTGTAGTTTGATAGAAGACCATTGCTCTCTCTGAGGAATGCCAGTGGACTTCTACTAGACTACACAACATTACAGTACTAAAGATTGTACTTCTACTCTTCATAATTACTGCTATGAAGACCTCACACCCTTAAATCTTGAAGAGAGTATGTATCTAAGGAAAGTAACATGTCTGGTTCAGAGAGCTGTAAGACATTCAGTAGGTTATAGCAGTATTGTTTTTAGTAGTATTTAAATTAAAATCTCTTATAATACACATTTTGATATATAGCATGCATAATCAAACAGTTCTTATGAGTTTATGTAAGTGTACTGGTAACTCAGTTTGGGAATGGAGGTTAGAACATTGATATTAGGGCATCTGCTGAATAGTTTTCTTTTGAAGTTTGTAATGCATATACCACATACTTTCATAGCATGTTACAAGATGTCTATATAAATTCTCCCTGTGCTTAACTTAACAATAGATGCATGGCTTTTATTTTTATTTGTTACTTTGCATGTAAGCATGATATTCAGTTAGCACTTAGCGTTGGGAAGAAATGAACAGGTTTCATTACTAAGTGTAGTGTTCTGTGTTGCTTATGAATGGCTTAATTACCAGCACAGGTGGTGACTATATCCAATATTTTGCACATATTTTCATAACACATGATGTAGTTTTCACCATGTTCTTTGTTGTCATTATGGCCATCGATATTATCATGTGTATGAGTGACTGTAGACATGGTTTGGATTGGTAATTGGATTTCTCTCTCTCTCTTTCTTTTGCAATGACTCTTTCAGCCCATTCAGGGCCCAGGCCTTTTATTGAGTTCCGTAATCATTTTTCACAGACAGTAGGACTCCTTGGATGAGTGATCAGTCCATCACAAGACCACTGCCCAAACACAGGACAACACAAACATGGAATAAACACATACACACACCAAACATCCATGTCCTGAATCTGATTCAAACCCACAATCCCAGTGTCCAAGCAAATGTAGACAGTTCATGCCTTAGACTCCGTGGCTGCTGTGACCGGCCTTATTGAACACTTACAGAATGTAACTACAAGTAACTATAGCGCTATCGCTAATTCACACGTTCTGCAGTTTACTACATCATGAACCAAGTCTTCTCAGTCTGCTGTGTTGTCACCTGTCATCTGGTAATGACCTCCTCTGGGTTCCCAAACTGACCCTGCCTTAGCTACCAGCTTCAGCACAGCAGTCCTCTTAACTCATTCACTCACCAACCAATTTGCTCCGCTTTACTGTACTAAACTACCTCGGCGTGGTGGATCAAGTGATACACCCTCAGAGTAGATTCATAGAAAAAACCAATTCCATTGTTCTTCATGGACTACTGCCTAGCAACAGCTCCAGTACATTTGCGTGTTCATGATCTTGCTGCATGGCAGTGGCCATTGTCTCATTTTTTGTTTCGTGCTCATTACCTATGAATCGGTCTGTATGTGCCAATATGTTATATATAAATAAACCTCTGATACCAAAATGTTTTGCTAGGTCCAGAGGGCGTGAGGATTAATTGTATACATCGGAATAAAGGAATACCCCCCCACCAAAGCTACACAACATCGAGTTAAATGACTTGATATTTTGGGTTTTGAATGGGTGAAGGGGACATGTTGACTAAAAAATAATGAATTTATTGTTTAAAACAATATAAACTCTGAATCCGAAACAGCTGACATGGATGGCAACGTACAAGTGTGTTTATGAGTGGAAAGTAGAGACTGAAACTATGGAAGTCACAGAACTTAGTTGCATGATTACACATGGGAACAGCTATCACATTAGTTAGTGCTAAAATCTGTAGTGAGACCCAATTGAAGTTTTGCATGTGTTCCTTGCAGCTGTTTTTAAGTTTTAATCAAATATCAGATTCTAGTGAAAATTTCATTTCAGTCAGACCCAATATTTTGTTTGTGGTGCCTATACAGAGTGTCCCAGAAAGAAAGATCAGTATTTTGGGAGGTCATAATATTGGTCATTCTAAACGAAAAAATATATATGCATGTCCTATTCAAAATGGTTTCCGAGATAAAACTGTTTCACCTTATAGTAGTTTGGTTGCACTCAGACCAGCAACACGGCATGTCCTCACACAAGTTGCAAAATGCAGTGATGTTGGCAGTGGAATTTTTGGAAATATATTATACTAGGTAAACTGTACCAACTTTGTCACTTGAACAATAAATACCCATATTAGAAACAGTATGTAATATCTCTTTCTTATCAACAATTTTGGAACTGTACAGTCAAATAGCTCTGTCTTGGAAATTGTTCAGAATAGGACACATGTACATACACATGTTTTGTTCAGAATGACAGACACTATGACCTCCCAGAATATTGACTTTTCCTCCCAAGAGAGTCTGTATTTGGAATGCAAACTCAGTGTGATGAGTGATTTCTGCTGTACTTACTTCTTTGCAAAATAAACTGCTTTCGATTGCATGACAATGAGTATTATTTATCATCATCATCATCAAATGTAAGTACCTGTTTAATATATATATATGTGTGTATCATTATAAAGAATATTAGTGGTATCTTTTATGCTATTAATGAAAGGTAACTCATCTTTTAATGGCTAATTAACAGTACTGAGTAAGTATTTTTCTAATAATGTACTGCAGCAAATGTTACAATTATCAAGAAAAGTGCTATCTTCTGGGGTGTGGTGCCCACAACTCTTCAGTGGTCACCTTCATGAGAAACTCAAACCAAATCATGTGATTATCAGTCTCAAATTCCTGTGTATATAGTGATATTCATAAAAATCATAGAGGAAGAGGTATGACTGTTTGACTGGATAGAAAGAGTATTAGTATTCCATGGTGTCTCCTTGAGTGATCTGCCGTTGCCAAAATAGAGTTGGTATCCATTTCAGAGATGTCTAGATGTACAGATGTAGTTGCCCTTAGAGTCTAGTTCCCTGTTCAAATACTGACCGCTTCGGAAGAATGGGGCAGAGTCTGCAGGACAGTAATATTAACAGTCCAGAATGCTGACTGCTGATATTCCTCGACTTAGCATCAAGGCAAGGTCCCATACAAACTTCAAGGGCACCATGATCAAACACAAACCTCTTAATGAACCAGGTCAGGTTACATTATTGGCAGTTCCAACAGGAATATGGTGTTTTCTTGAAGTCATTTCTGGTGTGTTACTCCGTTGAAGTAATGCCAGCATAAAAGAGTGGAACAAAGGTGTGATGACTGCCCAGCAGACACCGTCATACCGCCCCAAGCGGTCCACACACAGGCAGGACACCAGGCTCTGGGACTGTGTGTATAAATACAGTGAACTGATCAACACATCAAGCCATGATGGTGACAGGAAGTGTTGGGCACCAACTCCATTCTGACATGCCTTGTCACCCTAGAAGACTTCATTGATGAAAGCTTCAAATCCTGAAGAGTTGATCTGACTATCTGTTGCACATTTCTTGGCCCTTGGCAAAATGGTGATAGTGGGAGAGGATTCCATCACTGTTTCTCCTACACTTCTCTGCCTATCTCTATGGCTTCTGTGCTTGCTTTATGTACCTGCATCTGATACATACTTTCAACTTTATGAGGGAAGATATTCTGGTGTGGGGAACTGGAGGCATTCCTCCATTTGGATGGAAAGTTGTAATGCATTTACAGAGGTGATGGTGTCATAACACACTTTCTTTGAAGAAGTCATTTTTTACTAAATACTGTATTATTATTGTTATTAAATTGAGAAGGATGAGGCAGAGGGGATATAGAAAATGCATTCAAAATTTTATTTACTCTCTAAACTACAAGGGAAGTTATAGCATAAGAAATCTAGGCATACGAGTAGATATAAGGATGATATTTAAATGTGTCTTAAAATATACAGGGTGTGAAAGTATGAAGTGGGTTCAGCTGGCTTAGAATATGTGCTCTTGTGAACCTGGTAATAAACTGTTGGGTTCTGTGTAAAATAGAGAATTTTGTGCCCACCTTAGTGAGTGGCCCTATATATGTATGTAATTGTCTGGGAAATAGGGGACAAGGTGTTGAAGTTTTTGTACTTCTTCAGATGGCCATTCAATGACATGCTGTCACTTGACTGACTGACTGAAGCTGCTCAGTGTACACACTCCACAGTTTGTAAGATTATGGTCCAGAATATGATACCATTTAATTGTGTAAGTGGTTGCTTATGTTCTGGAGGAAGCTTCTGCCTTGACTTTCAGAAAAAGCATGACCAGATATTTAGGGAACCGACAGACTGAGCTCCATCCTAGTAGCATGAAGAAGAAAGATGGTTTCCCCCGTAGAAAATAATGGAAGACCCTCATTCAGACCTTGAAGAAGAAAAGAAGTCTGTTTCTAATGACAAAGCATGCACTTCCATCTGACTTGGCCTTTATAAGGGCGTTCCGTGAAAGTTGCTCATAAAGTTTTTCCTGTTCCCCATTTCCAAAGGCCATTTTCCTTGTGTAACGTACATGCATCAAGAGCCGGGATAGCACAGTCTGTATAATGACTGGCTATGGGCTGGACAACCGAGTGGTCGGAGTTCGAGTCCTGGTAGGGTCAAGAATTTTCACTTCTCCATCTTGTCCAAACCGTCTCTGGGTTCCTATTCAGTGGGTACTGGAGTAAAGAGGTGGGGACATGAAGCTGACCACTCACCTCCAGCTAGTGCCGAGGTCAGGAAAACATGGGTCTATACATCCACTCAGCCATAAGTCTTCATGACGTAGTGCTTAGTTAGTTAAGCACAGGGACGATTTTACCTTATGTTTAACACACATGCATCACAACTTGATGCACTTCTGCCATAAAAATGGAAGCAGCAGGTTCCTCAGAATTGCCGGTAACCATCTATAAAACTATGTAATGTTAAAAGCCAGAAGACATGTCTTAATTTTCACCATCTTGAAAACTTCATAGCTCAGTCACACGTGTTACATTTTTGGCTATGCACCCTCCACTCTTCTTTGTTCCTCATTGATGGCCTTATTCACGTGATGTACCATAGGCATGTAGACAGTGCTGTCTCTACATTATTTACTGATATGTTATTAAATTTTAAAATCATTTGATAAAGTAAAATGCGCTGTGGGGTAAGATCAGTGATCTACATTGTGCTGCTGTTTACTCTGTAGTAGAGGATTTTAGCTTCATAACTTGTACTCTTCTCCAAGTATAATTAGAATGATCAAGTCACGGAGGATGAGGTGGGCAGGGCACGTAGCATGACTGGGGAGATGAGGAATGCATGTAGGATATTGGTGGGAAAGACCGAAGGAAAGAGACCACTGGGAAGACCAAGGCATAGATAGGTGAACAATATTAAAATGGATCTTAGAGAAGTAGGGTGGGATGGTATGGATTGGATTGATCTGCTTCAGGATAGGAACCATTGGAGGGCTCTTGTGAACACGGTCATGAACCTTTGGGTTCCATAAAATGCTGGGAAATTCTTGAGTAGTTGCAGAATTGGCGGCTCCTCCAGAAGGGCTCAGCTCCATAAGTAAGTAAATAAGAGGATTTGTTTCCTGTACATTGTGGTCTAGAAAAGGTGTCATGTTGACTGATACTGGTTGTATGCTGCACACTGTTGTACATTACTGGTGTAAGATTTGAGGTTTTCACGGTGGTGACTATGAAGAAAGCTGTCTTCTGGGATGTGGCGCTGTGTAGAAATAATTGTGTTAACTGACGTTTCGGAGGAACGTATTGCCTCCATCTTCTGGTCTTCTACCCTGAAGATAAGGTAGAAGACCTCCGAAACGTCACTTAACACAATTTCTGCACAGCGTCACATCCCAGAAGACGGCTTTCTACATTACTGGTATTTACCTGACTGTGGACTCCAGAACAGACTGTTTCTAGAAGGTTTAGAACATTTTTAGAATTAGTGTAGTACACAAGTATCGCTAATGTGTTTTAAGTTTCATTTTGACTAAATGTAGAATATGAGTCAGTCTAATTCATGTTTGATATACACCATCGGAATGTCTTGAGGAGGGGGGAGTTATAATGATGCTCCAAGTATGTAGACTATACTGGGGAAGAATTCAGGCAGTCTATACACTTCCTGGCAGTTATATAGTGCTAAATATAGTAGGTGTGTACATATGCAGAATTTTTGCTTCTTGCTTATGGATGGCTTACGCTTCGCTTAGGTTTACGCTCTGGTGAGGTGACACCGTCACCCCCTTCACGACCTCTCAGTGCACTCAGTCAGCAGAGTATGAATAGCGTCAACTCTGGGGTTAGTCTCCGTGCTCGTCCAGTCTCTGCAGCCCGTAAGCCTCGTCCCATCAGCATCGCAGTGACGGGCATAACACAAGAGCCTGATAGTCAAACAGTCCGCACCTCGCACAGACACAGTGAGCTGCTCTTCTTATTGTTCACTCTTTTCTCTGGTCATGGAACCTATGAAGGAGCTGTGAATTACACATCTGACATTTTTACTTTTCTCTGTGTGTTATTTTATGCTGTACATATGTTTATGAGTAGCAGTATAGAAACTAGACTACTGACTGTATTATGCAGAAATCAGGGTTCAATTCCTGATATGGAAGCAAGATATTTTTCTCTTCTTTGTATCATCCATAGCAGCTTTGGATCCCACCTAACCTTCTATCCAGTGGGTATCAGGAAGTCTTTCCTTGGGCTAAAGTGGCTGGGGCATGAAGCTGCTGCTCACTTAATCTGATACCAAAGTTAAGGAAGTGTTGACATATACATCTATTCCCCCATATGTCTTCATGACTTTGTGTGTAATTAAATGTGAAGACTTTAGTTTACCTTTTACTTGTACTTATATTGCAAACAGTAGTACTGCAAGACCAGCAGAATGGATGTACAGTGTGGATCAGTAGAGGTTCAAACTTTGTAGATAATTTTCAATGAATGCAACCTGTTGTGTATCATATATTATTTCTTACCGAGAACCGTAACAACACAACATCAATAACACTTGTAAGCAGCTCTAGAAGAGTTGTAATCTAGCCCTCCATCAAATTGGACATTTACACAGTGGAGTCGCCCATCAAATATTAAGTGATAATATACAACATAACAGGCCTCTGAACACCATGTCAGCAGTTGTGTATATAATATGTCCGTATGAGTATTACATGTATTATGATTGCAAAAACGAACTTCCAAGTACCATCGCATATACAGTTTTAACTGTACTTTGACTATGTAACTGATCAATTAATATTTTAACTTTTATTATAATTTATATTTAACATGCAATTGAATAACGAAAGGTTTAATGTATTTGCCTGATGATGGCCTTGTTGAAGGCCGAAACATGTAGCAAAGGTATTTTCTAGAGCTGCTTACAAGTGTTATTGATGTGTTGTGACGGTTTTCAGTAAGAAATAATATACGTAGATGATGATATGCATATATACATGGGTACACTTCATGGCAATCTTGTTGCTGTTCCTGTCTGATGAATACTGGGATGCACATTTCAGTACAAATCAGGGATTACGGTTTATTATGGAAAGGAACTAGAATCCAGAAATATAGTATTTCATACAGATGCAATGCAGTAACCTCAATACAGGTCAGCCTGTCTAACAAGTAATATAAATGGAAATATATTTCCTAGCTTTGGCTTTTACAGTTCATAGAAGAGATGAAAACTGTGGAACTCAATGAAGAAAAATGTGTTAAATTCTGTAATGTGTGGAATTTAGATCTTTTGAGAGGCCATGTTTCATGCCCATATGTATAACATTTCATACCATACTGATATTTTTTATATACAGGGTGTCCCAGGAGGAATGGACCAAACTTCGGGAGGGTGTTCCTTATGTTAAAGTATGCCGATATAACCCAAAACACCTATGTCCAAAGTTGAACCGTTACGGAGATAATGGCCCGAGAAAAGTGTGGTCTTCTTGCAGGTCCACGCACTGTGGACAGTCAGCTGTGACTGTTATCTGTTTGTACTTGAGTGTGGTGATGTCACACTAGCTGTGATCTCATGCGCAACCTACCAGAGCCTACACAGATTACACTGCGGCGGGGTCGTGAATGGGTGGTAAATTAGTTGTGTGATGAGTTGCTGAAATGCCTCTTGTGTTTTCACACGTGGAATATTGTGATATGC